GCAGAGGGAAGAAGGGGCAATCTATTTCTGTAAAGATTTACAACCTCAGAAACCCAATGGGTGTCACTATGAGTCGGAAACGACTCAATGGCAGTGAGTTTGGCTTTGTTTCTTTTTAAGATAACATGTTAACAATGTTGTAGGTACATTTTCTGTCCTGTCTGTCCATCTGTCTATTTCTGTGTCCACTTCTCTCCTGCATACATATAGAGGGCTTTATTTTCCCCATACTTTATAGATTTTAATCATACTATGTGTATTACTTTAAATGTTTAACCATATCTCATGTCATACTTCTAAGTCAGTACATCTAGATCTAATTCATTCTTCTTTTTATGTTGTTTGATTTATTGCAAGAAGTATATGTTGCTCTTAAAAGAAAATCCAATAGCATAGTTAAAGTAAAAGATAAAGTGCCAATATATTTTATCACATATTAATAATGTATTTACTTTATAATATGTAAGAAAAGGAGTCTGTTGACAATTCTATTGAAACTTAGATTTCCTTCTTTATTTGCTGTAAGTTTTTTGCTTTGTTCACATTTTCTTTATTTCCCTTAGAATAAAAATTAATTGTAGCCTTAATGAATATTTTCTCTACTAAGCAAATTCAATGTATTTTTCAGGTTATTATATCCGAGAAAAGTCTAAACAAGTTATAACATTGCTGATGGATGAACAATTGCTGCATAAAGAGAGGGAAGTAGCATGTCGGACTAGACAGCGTACCTCCTACTCTATGACATTTCCTAAAAGATTACCTGGTACAGGTAACTCACCAACAGCATGTGCTTCTACCCCCTCACCAGAAATTCCTGCTTCCAAGAACAAATGTAAACTTCGTAAGGTTGCAAGGCTACATCGTCAAAGTACGTATAATGAATACTGGCCAAAAGTGCAATGGGTATCATTTAAGAGCAATTAAAAATATAAAGTATTATTAGGCTTTAGTGCTAAAGTATTAAGACTATATTAGTGCTGGTATTATTAGATTGGACTTTATACTGTAGAGAACAAAGATGGTAAAGAGTAGTCAGGGGGAAATTTTATGACGATTTTCTGAGTGGAATGATCTAGGATTCAAATAAAAAATTTTTGAAATTGAAAGATACTCAACTAATGACTATCATGTTTGGCATTTTGATTACATTTTAATATTTTAATCATAAAATTACTTTCTGACACCAGGGCCCTGGATATGTGTGCTATTTGATCCTACTAATCAAGAAATTGAAATTTTCTAAAATGTGCCACAGAATTCTAAAAGTGCTCTAAAATCCTTCTGGGGCAATACTTTGAGTTTCATAATTCTTTCCTTGTCCCAAATTTTAAATTTAGACAATTAAACTTTTTTTAAAAAAAGTGTTTTATTTCTACATTTATAATAGAAATCAGAAAAATGGAATGATGTTTTCTACCAGATTTGCTGCCACAGAAGGCAATGTCATTTGGCCCTAATTTCTCCAGTACAAACCTGTCAGTAAGTTATGTATGAGAAATGGACAGCTTGAAAAAGCAAAAACACTAATGAAATGTGACTTGGCTAACTCTCCCTTGGAATGAACTTCACCCGTGTGGCTTTGTGTCTCCAGTGAGGGGCCCAGCAGGGCTGATACAATTGCAGTTATTTTCAGAGCCTTGCCTCCTGACTTCTTCATGGACTCTACTGAGAGATCCTGAAAGAGCTGAAGGCCAAATGATAGGTGTGCTTCCAAACTTCAGTTAACTGGGGAAATTAAAAAATGGTAATAGTTGATACCAACACAAACTAATCATACTCAACGTCATTAAAATATTTCTCCAGTTGAGTCAAGAATTCTCAATTCTTCACTCAATTTCTATCTGGTGGACCAGTAGGGAGATAAAAACATAGTTAAAGAGATGGCCATCATAATTATGGTCATAAACTACCACCTAAGTGCTTCTGAGGAGCTCTGGTGATATAGTACCTAAGGCATTTTACTGCTAACCAGAAGGCTGGCAGTTCAAACCCACCAGCCGCTCCTTGGAAGGAAGAGTAGGCAATCTACTTCTGCAGAGATACCACCTCGGAAACCCAAGGAGGGGTCGCTATGACTCGGTCCGATTTGACTCAACGGCAGTGAGTTTGGTTGTAGTTTAGTAAGTGCTTCTAAAAGTAATAGAGTCCCTTTCTTATGAGTATCTATTTCCTTGAAAATAAATCTCCAGGAGACACAGAGACCTGGTCTAAAATTTTCTGCCAGAAGCCTTTCATTCAAACTGACATGAAAATGAAGCAACAACAGAGAAACAGTCATGACTCACCTGAGCGTCTCTACCCCTCTCCTTTCTTGTCTGTAACCTTCGGCCCTTCCTACTTCCTCTTTCTTCCTTCATTATAATATATAATTATTGGGTTTTATTATTTGGAATTTGGATATGTAGCAGACGTTTGGAACTACAGCAGTGGTCCCTGCCATCATGAAGCTAACATTCTCATGGCAGAGACAGATATTAAACACACATAAAAGCAAACCAAACCCACTGCCGTCGAGTTGATTCTGACCCTCTAGAATGGAGAACTGCCCCTCCAGGTTTCCAAGGCTGTCGTCTTGATGGAAGCAGACTGCCGCATCTTTCTCCTGCAGAGTGACTGATGTATTCAAACGGCCAACCTTTTCGTTTTCAGCTGAGTGCTTTAACCACTGTGCCTGCAGGGCTTGCTAAACACACATGAGATAGATATGAAAGATAATGTCTCGTAGTGGTAAGTCCTACAAAGGAAAGAAAAGCAGGATAAGCGGATAGACAGTGACAGGGAATGGCTTTATTTGAGGTTAGGCAGTGAGGAAAGGGTTTTTGGAGAAGGGAATCTTTAAACAGAGGCCTGGAGGAAGAGAGGCAGCAAGCTGTGGATGTCTGGGTGTTCTAGGCAGAGGGAACAGAAGGTGCACATGCCCTGGAACTGGCTAAGGTTGGTGTGCTTAATTATAAGCCTCTGAAACAAGTCCCTAAATGACTACCGAAGTACCTCAACTCTGAGCCGTTTTTATGATTCATACAAGAAAATCTAGTTTACAGCTTTATAGTCACAACTTGTTTTTAAAATGCAAAATCATATTCTTCAGCTTGATCACACATCTTATTCACTAGACTAAGCTCTGTATGGCTTTTAACTATTTTACAAAAATCAACCAACCTTCACATGGAGAAGTTTGGCTACAGTGTATTTTTTTAATACCACAAATGTGCATTGAGTACCTGCTTGCTATATGCCAGGCCCTGCTCTAGGCGTGGTAAGGTGTATTTCTGCTCTCATGGAGGTATAACTGGTGATGCACTGGGGGCTTTCAAGTCTGTTGCAAAAACAGGTGTTCCAAAGGAGTTTTGCTTAAGGATGGCATCACTGAAATACACATTAAGAGTATTGTGGGAGTTAAGGGTGTGTGTCAACTTGGCTGGGCCTGGTTTTGAGTGGCTGGGCAGCTGAATGTAGCTATTCCGCATGATGAGACTGGTCATCAACTCCCTGGTGGAATCTACTGTGAGCATCTGAGTAGCTGCCTTAGGGTTGTGGTCTGCTTCTAGTATATAGGAAGCAGCTTTGAGAAAGGTCTTGAGCTTTTTGGCACACTTGGACCCTGCATGTAGCCAAGTTTTCATTTAGCAGCCTGCCATGCTGCCTGTTGGTCTTAGAACTGTTTCTGGACTTGAACTAGTGACCTGCAGTGCTGCTTAATAATCTTGGGACTGTGTCATTTTGCTTCTCAACCTTGGATTTGTCAGCTTCAGCAGCTAGCAGCTGCCTGAGTTAAGAGAAGCCTCCAGCTTCAGTGGGCCAGGAGTAAAAGGCAGAGCTGAAACCTACGATTGAGGGGCCTTCACCCAGTCCCTAGAGCTGGTACTTTGAACTCGGACTTCTAGCCTCCGAAACTGTAAGAGATGTTAAAGGTATCCGTTGGTGGTATTTTTCTGTTAGAGCAGCACTTTAGAACCAATACAAGTACTATTTAAAGTGAATAGTGAACGATGGTATGGGAGAAGTAGCAAGTGAAAACTTGGAGATGGATGGACCAGTTAGAATGAAGTGCTAGTGGTAAACCAACCAAACCAAACACTGCCATTGAATTGGATCTGACTCATAGCGACCCCTCCTTGGGTTTCCAAGGCAGTATCACTATGGAAGTAGATGGCCCAACCTTCCTTCAGAGGAGTGGCTGGTGGGTTTGAACTGCCAGCCTTCTGGTTAGCAGTCAGATGCCTTAGGCACTAAAACCAGACCCACTGCCATCAAGCCAATTCTGACTTATTGCGACCCCCATTGGGATTCTAAGGTGGTGTATCTTTACGGAAGTAGATTGCCCAGTCTTGTTTCTGTGGAGTGGCTGGTGGATCAGATGCCTTAGGTAGTGTGCTACCAGAGCTCAGTGCTAGAAGTAGAGGCCACATAATAGTAGAGGCATAAGCATGATAGCAAGGTTTGTTGTTATGTGCCGTCGAGTTGTCTCCAACTCATAGCAATCCTATGTACAACAGAACAAAACACTGCCTGGTTCTGTGCCAGTTTCATGATCCCGACTATACCTGAGCCCATTGGTGCACCCACTGTGTCAATCCATCTCGTTGAGGGCCTTCCCCTTTTTTGTTGACCCTCTACTTTACCGAGTATGACATCCTTCTCCAGAGAATGGTGCCTTCTAGCAACATGACCAAAGTAGGTGAGATGAAGTCTGGTCATTCTCACTTCCAAGGAGCATTCCAGCTGCACTTCTTCAAGGACAGATTTGTTAGTTCTTATAGCAGTCCATGGTACTTTCAGCATTCTTCACCAACACCACAATGTTGGTGTTCAAAAGCATCAACTCTTCTTTGGTCTCCTTATTCATTGCCCAGCTCTCATATGCATATGGGACAATTGAAAATATCATGGCTTGGGGCAGGCTCATTTTAGTCTTCAGTGAGATACCTTTGCTATTCAGCAGTTGAAAGAGGTCTTTTGCAGCAGACTCGAGGCAATACATCTTTTGATGTATTGACTGTTGCTTCCATTGGTGTTGATTGTACAACCAAGTAATATGAAGTCTTTGACAACGTCAATCTTTTCTCTGTTTATCGTGATGTGCTTAGAGGTCCAGTTGTGAAGATTTTTGTATTAGGTGTAATCCATACTGCAGACTGTATTCTTCAGCCTTCATTAGTCAGTGCTTCAAGTCATCCTCACTTTCAGCAAGCAAAGTTGTGTCATCAGCGTATTGCAGGTTGTTAATAATTCTTCCTCCAATCCTTCATATAGTCCAGCTTCTCTGATTATTTGCTCAGTATATGGATTGAATAAATATGGTGAAAAGATACAATCCTGACACACTGCCTTCCTGATTTTAAACCATGCAATATCCCCTTGTTCTGTTTGAACAACAGCCTCCTGGTCTATGTACAGGTTCCTCATGAGTACAATCAAGTGTTCTGGAATTCGTGTTCTTTTTCTTGTTATCCACAATTTGTTATGATCCACACAATCCAATGTCTTTGCATAGTCAATAAAACATAAGTAAACATCTTTCTGGTATTCTTTGCTTTGAGCCAAGATCCATCTGACATTAGCTGTGATATCCCTTTCTCCACATCCCCTTCAGGATCCATGTTGCATTTCTGCAAGTTCTCTGTCAATATACTGCTGTAACAGTTTTTGAATTATCTTCAGTAAGATTTTACTTGTGTGCAGTATCAATGATATCAATGGTATTGTTCAATAATTTCCACATTCTGTGGGATCACCTTTCTTTGGAATGGGTACAAATATGGATCTCTTCCAGTCAGTTGACCAGGTAACTGTCTTCCATATTTCTTGGCATAGCTGAGTGAGTGCTTCCAGAGTGGCATCCATTTATTGAAACATCTCAGTGGGTCA